CATCGGTTACGCCAGTTTTGTTTTTGATTCTGATTTGGCCTCAACAGCCCCATCTTTTCAGCCCACCTTTCCCCCGTTTTCCTCTTTAGATTCTGCAGACAAAGTTGCGATGCCAAGCGAATTCTATTCCCGCACCAGCGGATCCTGGGAGGTGGGATGGTGGGTGGTGGTTGGTGGTCGGATGGGTTGGTGGTGCCCCTAGGCCCGTGCAGATGCTTTTTGCATATTTCATAATTCCCGCAGGTGGCTCTGGCTGGTTCTACACGGACTGATACCCGGGGAAGCCCAAAGACAACAATCAAATGGCCCCAAATGTCGGTTCCCAGGTGCCCCTTTCTTTGTGCAACGGGCATGTTTCATACGCCAAATGAATGATTAAAGAGACTTGAAGTCTGGCTTCTCTATTCCTTTTAATATTTTTCTGATCGAATAGAAGTTAGGGTGATACCCGCTTACAGGACATCTGCTAGTCTGGATCCTTCTGCCTTGCTTTTTTTTTTTGCTTAGCCCGGCTTATTGCGCTATGTGTCGCAGAACTCAAAAGGTTGCTTAACGTGGCCTTAAAAGTTTTAGCCCTGTGTCAGCTTAAAGGAAAGCAGAGACAGATGCTGGCAGATTTAAACGATTTTGAGATCTTAAATATTTGTGGATTGGTTGCTTACCAACGAATGTGCTAAAATGAATGTATTTTATTAGTTGTCAGAAAGAATTAAACCAAAATGAGTGGACACAATGTTGAAGAATGTGGAGTATGGCTAAAATTGGTTTAAATTAAATTAAAAAGCAGCTTGGTTTGTGTTTATGTTTATTCAGTGGGAAACACATTATAAGATAAGATACACAAGATATGATAGAGTATGAGTGTTGTAGAGAAAGCCTTCGAGGGCTAGTTAATCGTGACTATATCCATCAAAGCTGGCATAATCAGGCGAGAGAAGTGGCGGGGCTTAGGTTTTAGCGAAATTCAAAGGTTGGAGGAGCGCTTAAATGAAGACTTCTCTGGGGCGCCTCTTCCATCTGTCTGTCTTGCGTTTTTGTCTGGGTTAAGTGAAAGGAGGTGACGATGTCCTTGCCAGCCTGCTTTCACCTCCATTCTTGGCCAGGCGTTTTGTTGTTAACACCTTTCATGGTCGTCAGGACACGAGACAGTCATTGTCGCAGGCAAATTAATTAAAGGACCCCCATGGGCGATGTCGTAAAGCATTTAGCATTTTAATTGCGCCATAAAACGAAGCGGGGGTGTACAGTCAGTTGTCGAGGTGTTAAACAGGTGACTATGTGGGCGATGGGGGGTTAAGGGGGTCCAAAGTGGTCGGATACCGAACAAGAGTTGACTCTGCTTTGACATTTGCCGGCTAATTAGATTAGATTTGCTTGCTTAATATCCCCAGCAGGATCGTCACAAAAGGCTTTAATGGCCATCTCTCTTCTCTTCCTTCGCATCCTGTAGTGCGAAAATCTGTGACTAACTAAAGAGTAATCTAGGAGCTATTATTCAATTCTCTTGGTTGCTTTTAAAACGCCGAGATTGCGTCTTCTTTGACCTTTTGAGGAAAATACTCATTCAATATGCAACCAAGTACGCTTTTTAATTGTGAATCATATATAAGCAATTTGCTCGGTCTCTTCACTATAGAGAATGAAGTAAACTTGGAATCTGTACATTCCTTTTATTTATATACAATTTCTCAGTGAATAGTATAGAATAGTATAGTATACATACAAAAAATATAAGGCTTTATAAAAAGTTAGATTTAATAATACATTTTGAAACTTTATTGAAATGAGAGCTAAGAAATTAAATTTCCTGTTTCCCGCTTTTATTGCGAGATGTCTAAGAAATTTAGTTACTGGGGGAATACAGGTATCTTCGAACTAAAATTGAATTTCCAGCAGGAAATCAGTTCATTTGCATCTGCATATCTCTGGCCTGTGGGCCAACTAAACTGGGCCAATGCAGGCCACACCCACTGGACACCCCCACTATGACCTCCTCCCCCGGAAAGGCACCCAACCTCCTTTTTGGATGCTGCAGTTGCTGCGGAAGTGACAGACGGATGCTGGGAGTATCCTCGAAGCCTCGTATTCTCGTATCCTCGTACTCGGCACTTGGCCTCGAAATGAGATGCGCTTTTAAGCTCACACGTGCGACGAGCTTAAGCTCGGTTCCTCTCTCTCTTTCTGAGAGGTATAAACCTCTCTTTTTCCAACTATATAGTCCCTCTCTTTCACCCTTTGTAGCCCCCTCTCTCTCTCACCTTCTAGAAAGCTATCTCTCCATGTTGACCCAAATAAGATTTCGCAATTGCAGGCGAAAGGCGCGACATTCACGAAAGTGCAATTACGTTTAACGAAAGGAGAGAAAGAGACAGGAGCAACAGTCTCGTCCTGTTTCCTCCCTCTCTCTCTTTCTGTTCCTTTGCCACCATTCCCCGGTCCATTTCAATACCATTTCCGGTATTCCCAGCATTTTACATAAATTACTTATTACGACGCATTAGGAGAAACGCATTTGACATCCCCCAGATGCTGTGAGGACTACAAAAAAGTCCTTTGAGAGCTGAAAGTGAGAGAAAGGGGAATCCCCAGGACTCAATTGGCTAATCGATGCAAATTACTTTGCAATTTGCCAGAGCGAGAGGGTGCGCATATGATGTGATACAAAGCCAGAACGAGATAAAAACTTTGATTGAATTCAAGGTCTCTGTAGACAAAAAAGTCGAGCTTATTGCGTTGTTTGCACTAAAATTATGTTTCATACTTCGGGGTGGAATCTCTATGAGTGTTTGTGGTTGTATGGGTGCGCTTGTGTTTGTAGAGGAATCTAGGACACGCTTCACCTGACTTTCATCCGAAAAGTTGCACGATGCACGCCACAATGCACCAAACTAAATATTTATGTTTCCACCCTTGTGATTTGTTGTAACTATTTTGTTCTAAGAACCTCTTCTGTTATGTTTTCGCTCTATAATAACTATTTATATTGGTTTATCTTCTTAAAATTTGCATAAACAAATTGTTCATTTATAAAAAATACAAATATTTTGATTGGCCTTAAGTTTAAAATAATGAAAACCCGACAATTATCTCATTTCGATTCAAATAAATATGTTTTTATATTTAATAATATGTTCCGCAGAGGAGTCTACAATATTTTAAAGCATTCCTGAACTTTTCTCATAAAACTAAGTTAAAAGAAGCAAACTGGTGATTACTCCTGCTTTATCGTTATTATCAACAACAATGCAAAAACTGTACTGTCGCTTACTTATCCCTCCATTTCTCCCCTCAGTTTATTTATTTTTCCCCTCAAGGAACGAGATTCTAAAAGCTTTTTTATTGCCCACTCAAATGATGAATGCATTCATCATCGGGGAATGAGGAGAGTCGGGGGCAAATAAAATAACTGGCGTATCCCGCCAGGAATCAAATGCAATTTCAGGCTCTAAATTGACAGATATGCAAGCGAAACGGGGAAAGAAAAAAGTCAATAAAACGGAGACGGAGAAAGGCTCAATTGATGGACACTTTTTTGGCCAATTTGCCAGTGATTTGAGAGGGTAATTGAATTGGAAAAAGTTTTATGTTCGCATATAGGGTATATGATGATTTATGGGATAAAGTTGTAAGTGGTAGATTAAGGTTCATGTTTGGCTTAAATGAAATTAAACACCGTGTATAGATACATAAAGATAAAATCAGGTATTTAGTCCTTAATCCAAGCACTTGTTTTCTTAATAATTATCGATTATACGTATTTGGTTATTATTATGTAACCTCAAAGGGATATTTCCCAGTCCAAAGGACCTCTTCTGGTATGTTTTCGCTTTATTGAAACTATTTCCAGTCGTTTGTGTGCTGGCTTTCAAATAAACAATTTGATTAAAAGTGTTTGAGAGCCAGATTTAGATTGCTTTGATGGCAAATCTCTTTTAGTATTTACATTCAATTAAAATTGAATTCGATTTCCAGGTAGAGCATGAAAAACATCATCGACTTTTATGGAGTTTTTTGTTTTTGTGCCGTAAACATTCCTGTTTGCCTCGCTCTCTCTCTTTCTCTCCAGAACTCTCTCCCTTTCCCTCTCACGCACTCCTGTTCACATGTCCAAGGTCCTTTTGTGGCCTGCTAGGAAGTGAAGCCACAGAACCAAGCTCAGGGATATAGGGATATATAGGCAAAAACACGGAAAAAAGCATAAAGGATGAGATGCCCAGTAACCAGAAGGACTACAACAACTGCAGTTGGTACGCAGCACACGCATACAAACGCACTAAGGAAGGACAATAAAACAACAACAATAGCTACCAGGAGTAGCAGCAACAAGAAGGAGTAGATGAGAGCACTGAGAAAAATGTGTGCATCAATTTGTTTTCGATCATAGGCAATTTACAGTAATAATGACTTTGTTTTATAAGCCAATTTCCAGATATAATAGTTTATCAAAAATATTTAATATCATAAGTTTATTTTTTCCAGTCTTAAGGTAGTTAACATCGCAAAATTTGTAAAGGATTTATTATATTTATTATACATAATGCAAATAATAATTTGAGCAAGTGTTTTAGGGTTAAAACAATATTTGTAGCGAATAACTTAATTAATTATCCCCATAATTTTTTTGGTTAACCCATTGAAAACATAATTTCTTCAAGTGAATCGCGAGTGGAGAGACTCTGGCAAATGCCACCCCAATCAGCATTTTGCCTCTGGGCCATGGGACATCGGGCGAACTATATAGTAGGGAAGCTATAGAAAGAGAGGGGGCTACAAAAGGCGAGCGAGAGGGGGCTAGAGAGAGTAAAAGAGAGGGGGCGACCTATACGCTTTAACCTGTTTTCCACGAAGCTTTTACGCACTCGCAGGGCTCTCTCGCGTTTTTTTTTTACCACCCTTCTGGGGAAAAGCACGAAGGAGATTTTTAGCCGAGAGATTCTAGAGAGAACATTGGAGAAAAAGAGACTTTTCGCCAGCGAATTGGCCCAGTATCCATTCGGCCGTGTTCCCATAATGTCCGCCAGCGGTCGTCGCTTTTGTCGCAGCCGTTGCCAAAGTTGTCATTGTCATCCGTACAAAAAGCAGCAGCAGCAGCAGCAATATCCACAGCAGCAACATCTACAGCAGCAACACTAGCAGCAACATCCACAGCAGCAACATCTATAGAAAAAGCGAAGGAGCAGCAGCAGCAGCTTAAAAATACATTTTTCACAATGAAGCAAACGAGCGGAGGCAAGCAAAATTGGTGCCCGAGAAAAATTAGTTTTTCAAGAAAAAATACAAAAATAACAAAAAGAGAGAGAAGGAAAAATCGAGAGAGAGAGGAACAATGGTGTTTTTGGTAGGGGTTCTTCGGTCTTCAATACAACACACAAGAATCGCTAGTGGAAAATACAAAAAATATACAAAAATACAAATGGCACGCGCGTAGATAAAATAAAAAATCGGTTTAGTGAAACTGTAGACACCGCGAGTGGTAAATGGATATAAGTAAAGTTAGAAAGGAAGCCCCTTTTTGCCGGGCAGAGTGTTTAAAAATATATGTATGCAAAAAAGTGCAAAGAAATGTGTGGGAAAAAGAAATGTTTTCGAGTCGCGAGGAATTTTCATTTGGTTTAAAGACAATTTTTTTTGTGGCCTTTTTGGTGTATTATACATACACAGTCGTACACGTTTTCCCCACACACACAAGCACACTCATATGAGGGTTCGGGTCTTTTCTCTCGGGCTCGTTTTTCTTTTCGTATGTTTAATTTTCTTTTTTTTTTTAATTCGGTGACGTATTGCCGTACAAATTAGTAACAGTTTTCCGCGTGAGAGGCTGAAAAATGAATGTTTGGAACGTTTCATCGACTTGTCAACAAATTATAATCATTTGGCTCTAGGTGGAAATGCACGCCCCATTTGGCCCTCTTCTTCTTCGCGCTGTTGGGGTTTTTTCGCTACCTCATTTTCCTTTTTCCATTTCCCTTCCGCCGCCTTTGCGAGTGCATCGCAGCCAACTTCCTGCTTGAGCTTCTAAAGTGCAGGCACGCCATGCTCTCTCTAATGGGTTACACTCAGAAAAATTGCTTGCTCACTAAATTGGAAACCCTTTTCCACTCACACTTTAAATTTTCAACATATTTTTTACAAACAATAACAACAATTTTTTTTATTTTGAATTGAAAGTTAGTTTCTTTAAAATGTAAACGTTTCATTTACTTCTAGATAGAATCAAAACTAATTAAAACATATGTTACGTATAGACTAGCTTGTCAACATATATAAATATAAAATAAACTCTTTATGACATTTAATTTTTAATAACAATTAGAGAACTTGTGTTGCTCTTAAATGCTATTTTTTAAATGTAGTTCCAGTATTTTATTTTTAAATGTACCGCACATAAAAATACACTTTGAAACAATTCAATTGGATATTGTATTTACTAATTAAAATTCTTACATTATATGAGATGTTTATTGATGTGGGCAACCTGTATTACTATAGGAACATTTTATTGACTTAGCTACTACTTTTCCGAGTGTATTTTCCAAAAGGCTCTTTCACTCTCTTCCGCGGATTCTCCCACGCAGGCGCTTTGAACTTGGTTCTCCGCAGACTAGACGACCGCAACACATTTCCTAGTACTCGCACTACGAGGAAGCTTTTTGTTTGTCGCTTTCAGCGGATGGTCGAGCAAAGGAGACCCCGATAGGCGAAGAAAGAGAGGGGTCAAAGGGCGGGGGTGCGAGTGAGTGAGCAGCTGTAAACAGCTAAACAGCAGGAAGGCCAAGTCGTAATACCGTGCCACATGCAACCCATAATTCCACTCCCCCTTCTCGGGATTCCGATTCCTCTCCCGAATGCAATTTTCCGACTCTTGTCCCAAATTTCGTTGGCGAACTTTGCCTTTGCCTCGTTTCCACCAAAGGCAGTAATGCCGGGAAGGGAAAAGCGGTGGAAAAACGAAGACGTCGTCGTCACCTTCGTTTTGGTCGTGTGCCACACGTCGTATGCGTGTTTCTTTTTAAGGCGGCTACGTCATCTGTCACCTGCCCACTTTTCTGATTTTCTGCTTTTCCTCTGCGATTCTCCAAACCTCGTTTCTCGCTTCCACACGGTTCGCCTTTTTCGCGGGTATTTCCCAGAATAAAAGATTCACTGCGACTGTCATGGCATTTTGCATTTGGCCAGGTGTTTTTGGCCAGAAAAGGGGAGGGCCCTTTAAAACCTCCATTTATTCCCCCGTTTGCCTTGTTTCTATTATCATTTCTTGCTTTTCAGGGTCTTTTCTTAGAAGTATTTGCAAAAGAATGTGTTGTGTAAACGATAGGAAAATCATAATTGATCATAATTGGGATTTAGAACAAGGCAAAGGCTGTTTGAAATGTCATCATGTTAACGTAAATAATCATACAATTTTCGAGAGACCTTTAACCAGTTTTCAGTGTAGTTTGTTAAATTGTATTTTTAAGAGTATTTATAATTTTTTTTATGAGAAAATCAAGTTTATTTAAATCAAACCAATTTGAAATTTCTAACAAATCTTTTGGAATATCAATTAATTTCTTAACTAATTTAAAATTCATTGGCGTTTCCAATATACTAATTTGTAGGAAAACTTACAATCATAAGAAGTCTTTTAAACCAATTTTCCTTAACTGAATTGTATAACTCCCAGCAACTTAAGTTTATCTGGGAATAGAATACCAAAGATTCTTTTGTCTGTTATATTATTTCTTGGGAATTTTCTGTTTCCCGTACTCGTCACCACAGTTTTTAATTATAAATACTCAAATTATGTGCCCTTTCACAAGATTCCTTTACTTGCCATCGCAAACACCGACTTACTTCTGCTATTTATGCAAAGTCCATTCAACTCGGACAGATAAACATCAAATTTTGAAACATTTTTTGGGCACACAACACACACAACCCCTTGAATACGCAAAAAAAGTGAACCAAATTAGCTACCTACTCCATAAATTGTGGCAATCAAAACTCTAGATAATAACGCTGAAAAGGGGAACCAGTCGGGTGTCCTTATAAGGATATTCGGCAGGAGCTAGGGAGCCCTGAGGATAAAGAGAGCTGGCGAATATCCACCCTTCTAATCGTGCTGAGGGCAATATTCGCATCATGAAATTTTCTCGGCATTTGGTTCGTGCAGTTTTGAATATCAAAATAAATCGTAAACAAGGTCATATTGTCTGCGAGTGTGTGATACACACGGATACACAGTTTTGCGGAGGGATTCTCTCGATTTCTCGACTTCTCTCTCTCTCGCCTGCGCGTTTTTCTCTTGGGGAAAAACCCTCGACTAAACTTCCTCCAACTTTTGCAGATAGTAAAATGTGTGCCACAGGAAACAACAGGAAATCAAAGAAATCCTCAAAGAACCTGAACTATATAGACAACCAGAAAGGAATATCTCAATAAACAAAAAGAAACAAAGGAAAAACCAGCGAGAGAAATAATCACAAAACAACCAGAAAGAAAGAAAGCTTTAACTAAAATATTTTTAACTATACAATATACAATACATATATATATAAATTAATTATAGAAATAGAGACTTAAGTGTTTAGTGCATAAATGAATTAATTTTTAAACAAAATAACTGGGAAAATCAAGCAAGTGTATAGACCAAAAAAAAAAGCGAGGGCAGCTTCTGATTTTCGGTGATATGGTGTAAATGTGATAAACAACGTTCTAAAAAAACACAACAAACAAACAACCAAAACGTTTTAAACTCAATTACCACAATAACAAAAAAACAAAACAAAAATAGTGTTTTATTTTTCCTCCCTTCGCAAAGTTTTTTGCTACGAAAATCCAATACAATAACTATTTATCTACAAATACTAAGCCTTGCATCTTATAAACAAACTAAACTAAAAATAAACTAATCTAAGTCGCACAAAACCAAAGCAAATCGAGTGAAAACAACAGCGTCAGAGATTTTTCGGTTCAACCTTTTTTATAAAAAATAATATTCTCTCAACTGCACTGCCGCAACTTTTCGACAACTATGATTTATTTTCTGAAAGAATAATAAGAAAAACTTAAATATTCGTACAAATATATTGAAGAAAACTATGCAAACATTCTTATGAGCCGCAGACAACAAAAAGAAAATAAAAGACAAAACTAACCATAAACGAAAATTTGTTAACAAATTTTTGGAGCTACATAAAACCGTGTAAACAAAATGCAATAGTCTTACTCATATATTGAGGTAATCATCATGAGTTTATAAATTTTAAATATCAACAAAAACATGGTTTAATGGCAAAAGCTATTTAAACACCAGTAAATAAACTTAAAATTTGTAAATTCTCTCAATAAAAAAATCAAAAATAATTAAATTGAAACTTTTGCCTTTAAACTGTAAAACTTTCAATTCAGTTAGTTTTTTTTCTTACAAATTACACAACCCATACAACATTCTGATTCTTTTACTTAAGGATATTCTTTTATTATTTATGATTGACTTGTATTGAATACAGAACTATAAATAAACTAACTTGTTTTTATGATTTCTTGTTCCGTTTCAGTACACTTGACATAAACTGTGATTATGAGTTCCACAAAATCTCAAGTAGCCCTAGCTACGAATATTCCAACCAATTTATCCTCTGCCGCTTCTGCCTCAACAGCGGCCGCTGCGGCTGCCGTTGTTGTTGTTGCCAGTGCCAACGCCGCCGTTGCCTCAAATACTAACTCATCCGGAGTGGGAGTCGCCGGACCAGGATCAGGATCGGGATCGGTATCAGGACCATTAGTCGCAGGACCAGGAGCGACTTCCGGAGCATCCGGCTCAACAGTCACAGCAGCCACATCCGCAACGGCAACCTCCTCCACTTCCGTTGTAACAATCTCGAGCAACTGCAGCAGCAGCCTTAACAACAACTGCGGCGAAGAGTGCCAGACGGCCGGATCTGCCAATTTGGGCCGTCAGAACAGCTTCGGCAATAGACGAGTGAGTATTACCCATTGCCCGAATCATGTAGTGATTCTTAAAAAACCTAGGTTCATAAAGAGAATAGCTCCCAAGTATGGAAAGTTTATAATCACATAATATAAAAGAACATAAATGCTTGAAGCGATCATAAAAGCTATATTATATTATATTTATTAAAAATTCAAGTAAAATTCACCTACACCATAATTGTAGTTTGTTCAATTACTTATTTTTTTAATAAAAAGAGTTAATAATTTAAATGGCTAATAAATACCTATTTAATATATTCTATGACAAGTTTCCAATATACGAACCTACATTACTCTTAAAGGTGGGGTCAAAAATTAATATACATAGTAAGCATATTGAAAAGCTATATATCTGTTCTAGTAAAATGGGTTAATATAAAATGCAGATGTTATGGAGGTGGCCTAAATAGGTCAGGTCTTGTCAGGTGTCGCATGCTCTCCACTTTTCATCTCGGCAATGCTCTCGATGTCCGCTCTCTCATAGTTCCCTTCGCATCTCTCGAATGCCTCTCGCAGGATGCACACACATAAGTGCAGCCGTGAACTGAACTCGAGCAAAGGATACACGCCCAAAAAACGTCTAACAAACTGGGTCAGGTCACTGGCAGTCCAGGGGGGTTATGGGTTATATGCGGTAGGGGAGGGGGTGGAAGTGGTATTTCACTTCTGCGAATCGCATTTGCTGGAAATTCCCCAATCGACCCCGAATGGCTAAAGTGTTGCAATTGGTAAACGTGTTTCTGATTGCTCCTGCTGCAGTTGTTACTGCCCCACAATCCCAGACAGTCCTAAGCGCTTTTTGCCAACAGAGTTCAAGGTCTATGTGTGAGTCGAGTGGGTGGTTTGGTTGGGTCGGGCGTTCGGTCGGTTGCCTTGGTTAACTGCTCATGCAGGATTTATCGTCAATCATTGTTTATGTGCTGGGCGATAGAGCGGCTCCCCACCCTCCCCCAAAATGTTGAAGCACCCACTGGCAGCTGCTGGTGATTTTGGTGCTGCTGCGTGGCTCCAAGGTCGATTTATTGATTTTTCCACAATGAAAGTTAAATGGGCGTACCAGATTCCTGGAAATCACTTTGAAAGCCCACTTCGAAGAATTGGAAAATTGGCCAACACTGCGGATAGGTAGCTAAGTTTTTCATTTAGAAAATCTGCCATTTGCAATAAATAAACTGGGCAATAAAGTTGCTCTTTTGAGTGTAACATTTGAAAATGTACTAAGAAAAACAATAAAGCGACCCTTACAACTTCAGGGTGGTAAACAATTTGCTAATACTAAGACCAAAGCTGTCTATTTCAAAAATACCTAGTCCTTACTTGCTCGCCAAGTGTTAATTTAGCCTGTGGCTACGTCAAGTGACTTCAACAGCTGATTAATGATGTCAGATTCTGTTTGTTTTCGTATACCAGAAAATCGATGGGGGCGAGCAAATAATTAAGGCACGAAATTAATGTGCTGATGACTAAACTTGAACGATTGGCCGACTGACTGAACGCCTGATTGCGTTTATCCTCCGGTTTCTGCCCTGTCCTTCATCGCGCCAGAAATGTCAAAAGGCAATCTTGCTCGTAGGTTGGGTATACAATGTGTATAAGGCATTTCATATATTGTAAGCCTAGCACGGCAACCAGGCGGAGTCAACTCCCCGGTAACCTTTTCGGTTTTTCCGGTGTGAGTGGGCCTTTAGTTTATTTTACATATCAATGAGCCAGCAATTGCATCATGGATTGAATTTGAACGCCTGCCTGTTGTGGGTAAAGTGGAGCCTCTGTAAAAGGAATTGCTTGATATCGACATAAAGTTAGACGAATAAAATAGTAGTGAAATTAAAAGCTTTTTTAATAAATAACCAAACATCAAAGTAAACTTGATAGACTACTGACAAAATAAAATATCATTTAATAGGGTATTTTATCTATTTTGACTTCAGAAGTTCGCCTGTACGAAATTAGTTTAGATATCTAACCTTTATGCTCCAAAAACCTTGACTCCTGAGTTCCCCCGTAAATTCACCCCTGGTAAACTTTGGCATTCCCGTGCTACTAATTCGAAACTAATTACTTCACCCTCGACTGTTTTCCAGGGCAACATGAAGGGCAAACATCTCACCCGCAGCCATGCGATGCGTGAGTCCACATCGCCACCTCGCACGCCCACTCCCCGGGCTGCCTCCTCCGATCAGCAGCAGCTCCAGGGGGAATCCCACGAGCACAACAATAATAACAACAATAATAATATCAACAGCAACAGCAAAGCACAATCAACTGGAAGGGGCAACTCGCCACTGATGGAGACGCCAGCCGTGATTGTCACTAGTCAGCAGCCCCAACAGCAGCAACAAAATGTGCCCCAGAAGCCGCAGCAGAATGTGCCACTCAGCAACGAGGCGGAGTTCCCGAAGCTTTCGCCCCCAAAGAAGTCCGGAGGGCAGCACAATCGCACCAACAGCAATGGCAGCGGCATGGAGTATAATAACAACGCCAGTGGCAAGAAGTTCGTGGTGGATCTGAAGGCCAACGGGTTGGACAACAAGCCACACAACAACAACTCCTCCGCGGGAGTGATTTACAACTCCGGGATGAACTACAAGGCGGCGGAGCGGCACGACCGTCACGAGCGCCACGAGATGTCCAGCCAGAACAGCAATCTGAGCAACAACCACGACGACGAGCAGTATCACTATGAGCCCAGAGGTGGAGGCGGTGGAAAGAAGCATCGCGCCAACACCAATGCCAAAGGTAACAAACCACGGTTGAAGAATCTCGGTGGCAGTTCATCAGGGAGTATCGATTTAGGAGGCGGCGGCGGTGGAAACGGCAATGGTGGCAACAACATGTCCAACAACGGACTGTCCAACAACTCGAGCAACAACACCTCGGGCTTCATATCGCGCGGTAAGTGGCGGCTTTTCGTCTGTGGCCAAATACCCCGGCTCATCACTTACTGATTCTAGTCTTTCATCAATCAGAGAACTCGAGCGAGCAGTACACGGACTACGGCGGGACCGATCTGCTGGTGTTCTTCCGGGACACCCTTAACAAGAACCCCAAGGACCGCAACATCCTTTTGAAGATCGAGAAGGATCTGATGGAGTTCGTCCAGGAAAACAGGTGAGTTCTGATCTATGCGTTATAAAAACCAGACAAAAATGTAAAAAAAAAGGAGACTAATACATAATATTTACCATTTTTTGGGGTGATTTAAAATCAGGTTTTAAGTAAGTTTAAGTAATTGTAAATTTGTTGTCCTAAGATACCCCTTGTTAGTTCTGCAAATCTAATGGGTTCTCCTTACCTTTTCCCTTACAGTCGCGGTTGTGAGTATCGCTTTCCGCCAGCTTCCTCGTACAATCGAATGCTGATCCATCGCACGGCGGCCTTCTTCGGAATGGAGCACAACGTGGACACGGAGACGCAGCAGTGTGTGATTGTGGCCGTGGCCAAGAACACGCGTATTCCAGAGGTAATTACTTGGCCACACATCAGCCGCATACAGTACTTACTAATTTCTTAATTATTGCTGTTTCAGATCCGCTTCCAGTCGCTGGTGCGCGACGATGCACGCAAGTCAATTCTGAAGCGGGACACGCACAGCTTCGACGAGGTGCGTCAATCGCCTTATTTGTGCCCCCTTTCCATGGATCGCAAGGCCAAGAGCTTCGAGGAGCGAGAGGAGGATTACGATAGGGCGCGCAGCCGCATCTTCAGTCGAACGGGGGGAAACCATGAGGGTTACTCTGGTGGTGGCGAGGAGGAGTGCTACGGCGGCTGGGAACAGCAGCAGCAACAGCAGCAGAAGCAGAACCAGCCACCCAGGCCCAAGAGACCCAATGGAAAGATGCTCCAGATGCAGAATGTACGATTTCTAATATCCATTTGATTTAGAGCAGAGGGTTGAATGGGTTCAAGATCTTAGCTAGCTTCAAATTTATATAACTAGTTAGAATTTTCATAGCTTAAAACATATTTAAAGCAGCAGTTTCAAGGCACTCAGAAGAGTCAAAGATACAGCTTTTAGTTTCTGGAAATATTTTAATGAATTTATGCAAAGAATAATAATATGAATAATTCAATCACGATTTAATGATTTGTTCTAGGTTCACTTTCTGAGATACTATTATTTATGTCCTTAATTTTAAATAAGAGCCACAGTTTGAGTCAAAAGCAGTATGGAAAGCAAATATAACCCTGTTAAAGTCTACAAATATTTGAGTTAATATTGCAGATACCTGAATAATTCCTCCGTTTTATTTATGACCAAAAATTATATTACTCAAATCAATACTTGCAGTCCACGGAATCACGCGATGGTATGCGATCGGGCGGAGCAGTGCCCAAGTCGCACAATTTTGGCAACTACGGCGGGCCTCCCAGTTCAGGAGGACCTGGCAACAATTCCCTGCCGCGTGGGGATTCCACAAACTCGATCAAAAGCGGACGCGGGGGCTTCGTCAAGCAGGACTCTACTGGCAGCACTCCATGGCGGCTGTCTCCTTCCAGCAGTGGGTGAGTAGCTCAGAAGTCTGTCTCTTAAACATCATCTACAACCGGTTTCACTGGGTAATTTTATTTTGTTTTATAAAATACATTATTTGTAATAATTTAAAATGTTTTATATTATCGTTAATTTTTCAAAGATAGTACTTCATTTTTCTTTTATTTCTTATTAAATCATATTATTAAAGACTTTGCTCTGAAAATACAAAAATTAAAAGTGCCTCTAGAAAGAATAATTTAAATTGCAAAATTTTTCTTTAATTGGAAGTTTAATTTATATTTTTTTAAAATTGTATTTGTTAAAAGACAATAAGTAAAAGGTGCACAAATGAATATATTCCTCAGCCAAGTAAGTATTCATTTTTTTAAGTATCAAAAGCCTAGTGAAGCCGGTCATTAAAAGAAACTTTATGTTAAAACCATGTCCATGTACCCAAACTCAAAATCGCTCTCGCTCCATTTCTTAAATTATGAATAATTTTAAATTGACAACCTTAAAAATACCCCGAAAAAAAACCAAACCAAACCAAAAACATTTTTGTATGTAATCCCCCGACAACAACAACAATAACAACAACAATTGAACCAACCAACAACCAACATATAAACCAACTCCAACTGAAATCCCGTCCAGCTACAAGACGCGCACCCAGTCCGTGCGCTCCGATTCCGTGACTCCATCGCCCACGGGTTACGGCAGCGACAGGCAGACGCCGGAGTTGAACCACCCACCGCCGCCACCCATGGTGACCCACAGCCGGGGGCCGCCACCCATGTCACTGGGTGGTGGTGTTGTCGGCGGTGCAGGATCAGGAGCCATTGCAGCCGCGTCCCCCGTGGAAATGGGGACAGAAGCCACCGTGGCTAATGGGCCATCCTCGTCGGGAACGTCGGGACTCGTCTGGGCCGTCACAGACATTTCGAATGTGCCAATTGGCAGCGTCCTCATTGATCCGCAAACCCTCCAACCAATTGTCAATGCAGACGGGTAATTTACAAAAACTAAACCAAAGAAAATTAAACCACACAAACAACTAAAAAAAAATATATAATACAGAAATCGCTGCAAAATTATCGCATTGTTTACTGCAATTGCTTTTCGTATATCCGTTTATTTATTTCTTTCGTCGATTTACACATATTTAAGCTCGAACAAAAAATAGAGCGACAAATGCGGCTTTAGGACACAGTTTTATATGTATATTTCTAAAAATATAGTTCAGCTTTTGTTAAACCTTATACTTATCAAAGTTATCTACTTAATATTCAAGAAAAACTTGTAGTAATGCATATCTTATTCCACTTTTTGCTCAGACTCTTAACGTAATATAAATTATATGACAACTAAAAGGAATGAATAAAATATTTGATATTATTTAACATAAAGGGCAACAATTTAATAAAATACTTATGAGAAAATTGTACGCTTAGATACAAATTTTATACAATAAAACATATATTATTTATATATATCTTAGTTCAATAATTACATAAATATCTGTGTTCAATACGCAAAAGTTATTTGCTTGAAGCCTAACCAAATATTTAGCCATATTTAAAATATACTTATATAACTTTAGCAATGTTATTTCATATTATTTACCATAAATATTAATACGTTATTATATGTGAAATATGCAATATTATTAGCTTTTCATTTTTCGTGAAAACTTGTTGATGTTGTTTTTGTAAATTATCTGCCTAAACTCGAACTAAATTACCCGACACCAACTGCAATTCCAACTGCTATCGAATATAACTATTCGCCTCTCACCTTCTCTATATATCTATCGATCTGTGCCTTTATCTTTCACGCTCATCAACACTATGAACACTACACAAATGGGCGTTATTCCACTATATAATCCAAATCCACCCTTTCTTTCCATTCTAAAAAAATTAATCACCAAGCTTGCCTCTTCAGCGTTGATCGAAAGTCAAGATTTTTAGCTATCGAATGAATGAGTTGAATGTATCGTGTGTTATCGTCTAACGTCTGCCAGTGTTGTCGTCATACCCTAATTGTTGTTTGTTCAATTTGCATTTCGCATTGTTTCAATCCAATCAGTCAAGCCATTTGTTGTTGTTGTTTTTTCGATTACTTTTATATAATACTAAATGTCTGTCGCTGCCGTCGCGTCCCTAACACACTGCAGAAAAAAACATACAAGATAATAAATATCCGCAAATCTGTGGCAACTCTGTCAGCAGCCGCTTGTGTCGACTGTACTTTCTTTTTGAATAATTTTTTACAGCTGCGATTTAAATAATAGTAGGTAAAACATGTAATAAAAATCTTAATCATTTTAAAAAGAAAGAAATTATTTGTATCTTTACGGTTAGATACTTTTTTAAAGAACTCAAATAAACACCTTTAACCTTTCTAAATTTAAAGATAAAATATATAATTTTTTGGATTGAGTCCTAAATTTCGTATAATTTAATATTTTTGACATTTGCTATGGATTTTACCATTATTTTAATCGCAGCTCTATACTCTTTATACATAATTTTCCTATTCGAACGTTGCATGCTGCCGAGCGAGACAAAATACCCGAATAACACACTCAATCCTATCAGTGAAAATGTGATCAAATAAATACGAAAAGCTGATGAGTAGTGTCCGATTCTTGCAGTTCCATCTACCACTACGACCCGTCCAATCTGCCGCCCAACCAGGCGCTCCAGCACACGGGCAATCAGTACCAGTCGCAAAACCAGGGCAACTCCTCCTCCGGCGGCTACAGCAACTACCGCAAGTCGTCGCCACATCAGCAACAGCAGCAGCAGCAGCAACACCAGCAACAGCTGCAGCAGCCCCAGCAGCAGCATCAACAGGCACCGCAGCAATATGCCAACACTGAGCTGTCCTGCAGCTCCACCGAGAGCTATGCGGAGGAGGAGGCCCAGTCGCCGGGAATGGAGTGCTCCGAGGGCTACGAGAGCTACGAGCAGCAGCCGATGCCCGTGCAGCAGCAACTGTCGGGCAACGGCGACACTGGGAGCCTCAAGGGCGACGATTGTGATAGCCTGACCAGCGCCACCGCCTGCCTGAGCATCACCACCTCCACTTCGACGAAGAACTACGACCGCATCGAGGTGCAGAAGTACAAGAACCAGGCCACCAGTCCAAATATACCCGCCTGCTGTGCCGTGGGCGAGAAGCTGGAGCTGGAGGCTGTCGGACAACAGGAGCAGGAACAGGAGGAGCAACTGGCCGGGCCCTCATCCTCCGGCTCCGCCGCCTCCTCCGTGGGCATAACCGAACTGCCATCGAGCCAGACCCCTCTGCCGATGGCCACGCAAGTGAACTGCGACCTCCAGTCGGTGTCGCCCAGCAGCACGCCCTACAGCCAGTGCGAGGTGAAGACTCCTAGCCAGAGCCACGGACCCAGTGCCGCCGTCGAGGAGCCCAAGACCACCACCTGGACGTACACGCAAAGCTACCAGGCGCCGGACGGATCCACCGTCTTTCACACCACCACCACGCCCAACGGGGCGGCGCCCTACTGCGCCACCACATATCAGCAGGGGGTGAGTCCATCTATCGTAGAGAATTCTTGCACAGTGTTAGACTAATCTTCGATTTATCCTTTTTAGCCCGATGGGAGCATCTATGCCGTGCCGCAGGGCATGGTGTATGCCGCCTATCCGCAACCTGGAGTGGCCAGTGCCGGTGGCGCCTCACAGCCGCTCTTCCAACTGACCACCAGCAGCCATCCGCCCGCCCAGACGCTATTCGCCTCCCCAGAAGCAGGCGGAGAGATACCCGGCGGCACCTACATGATACCTGTCTTCGATCCGGCCCAACAGCCGCGTGAGGGACTCATCCCGGCACAGGCCATTTACCAAACGGGTCCGGGTGGCCCGGGAGCCGCCACAGTGATGCCAATGGCATCCGCCTATCCCACGGCCCAGTTCGCGGCGGCAGCGGCTCCCAATGGCGGGCCCATCTACCAGGCGCCGCTGATCTACTCCAGCGAACCGGGCGGAGGTGCCCAGCTGCAACAGCTTCCGATGGCGCCGTACCCGATTCAATACTCCTACCCGTACTACCACCCCATCTCGTACTACGTGCCGCAACAGGCGGTGGCCGCCGCGCCCATGGTGGCCAGTCAGCCGCAGGTGGGTCAGGTGGCTCCGATGCAGCCGCAGGCGCCGCACACGGGAGCTGGAACAGCCGCTGGTCCACCCACGGTGGTGTCAGGTAGGGTTACCAAATGTTGTGTTATAGCTCACATTATAAAATCCATTTACCCCTTAGTTTCAGGCCAACAGCACCACCAGCCGCATCAGCAGCACCACCATCAGCAGCAGCAGCACTCGAGCAACGGGTCCGTGGTGACCTCCAGTGGCTATGGCACCCGGGTGAAGCGCACGCCCGGCGGCGGCTCCATCCACTACAATCCCAGCTACACTCCGAGCTCGGTGGCTCATGCTGGGGGTGCCCATCACCCGTCGGCGGGCTCCGCACAGATCATTGCTGCGCCGGCGGCCAGCACAACCACATATCATGCGCTGCCCACGCTGACGCTGGCCCACGGTGGTGCGCCAGCCGGCACGGATCTCAGTGGTGCGGGCGGTGCCCATGTGTACGCGCTGCCCGCTCAACACGCCACCGCACTGATCCCAACGAATATCTTCCCCTATGCGGCGGCAGCGGCGGCGGCAGCAGCAGCCGGCGGCCCGGGAGGAGGTCCTCCAGCGGCTCCTCCTCAGGTGGTGCAGCAGGCGGCGCCACCACCACCGCCGCAGAGTGCTCCCCACGCTCACGCTCTGATCACAGCGGCTCCGTTTTACCCGGCCAGCCAGGGAAGCATGGATCAGGGCGCCTCACAGTCGGCTCCCAGTACGCCAGCCAATCCCGGAAGACAGGCTCCGCTGTTCAGCACTCCACCGGCTCCCAATAACGGAAGCTCGGGAAGCAGCAGTGGCGGAGGAGGAGGCGGGGGCTACCACAGCAACAGCTCCACGCCGCACTACTACCAAAACCAGAACAGCAACGAGGGCTACACCTCGCCCTACGAGAAGAGGAACCATGGAGGCGGTGCCTCAGTGGGAGTGCGCAAGCCATACCACCCAGGAGGTGGCTACAATCCCAGGCATTCGGTGCCCTTGGGAGGGGGGATCCCCTCGGGAGCCAAGACTCCACTGCTCAACTCGAACAACGAGCCCACGCCGCGTGCCTCTCCGAGCAGCGTGAGCTTGGGTGGTGCCTCCTCATCCGGCGGACCCAGTAGCTACCAACACCGTGGCCCTCCACCCCATACGATGGGTGTTAAGCGGGACAACAAGCCCAACCAGCTGCCGCTGATCAGTGGACCACCACCGAGCTATGCGACGAACTCGAGTCCCGGAGTCCCCAGTTACGAAAGCAAGCCGCCAGTGCGCCTAAACGCAGGAGCCGCCAGCTTCCGTAGCCAGAAGTCCATGAACCAGGACTACCGACGCAGTGTCTCCCAGCGGAACTCGCCCAGCGCCAATGGAGGAGGAAGTGGCAGCCACGAGAGCAGCAACAATTCGCCCAACAGTATTGTGGGCAGCCAGAGCAACAGTGCTGCCAACACGCCCAACGCAGGAGCACCACCGCAGCCACAGCCACAACCCACACTGGTCAGCCACTCTGGAGGATTTGTGGTGGTGGACCAGGCCACTGGAGCCGCCATTAATGCCTCGCCGCCCTCGCTTTACGGCGGAGGAGGAGGCGGTCCGGCCGGAGGACTAGGAGGCGGAGCAGGTGGAGCTGCGGGAGCGGCTCAGCCGGGTGGCGGAGGCGGAGGCGCCCGCTCGCACATTCCCACTGCCCAGCTGCACCACAGTGCCGCCGCTGCCGCCGCCGCAGCTGCTGGCAGCCAACAAGCCACGGCGGCGGTGCTGAGCGGCGTGGCCGCTGCGGCCGCCCTCGGCGGCTACAATCCAAATGGGGCGTCGGGCATGTACTTCAAGTACGGCCAGACGTACTTTGCCCATGTGAGTTTTCACTTAATTAGTTCTAGTTCCTTAAAGTGTAACTTGTGTTTTCCATATCCTTTAGCCCTCGGTGGCCTTGCCCAACAATCGACGATCTCCGTCGAACGATATCCGGCCGCAAATGGCGCAGGTGGCCGGCATGTATCCCACAATGATGATACAAGGTGAGCAAGTGCATAAGTGATAAGTGATTGGTTTGAACAGTAGCCGAAGTGCTGCATGCAAAGCTAGAATTCCCAACTGGTGGTAGTCTCATTGATCGGAGGAGTAAGTTAGCAATATCAACGCTGGATATACGGTTTTGTTTTATCTGGTAAAAGATGTATTAGATTTAACTGAAATCTAAGCATTGATCATGGCTTAACTCCTTCAAAATGTAATTGCGAAATCTCCTTATTATTCCCTAACTCATCTTAAATTTAAATAAGAAAAGCTAATGATTACTTCGCTTTTTCCAGCGCGTCATCCCAGTCGCCATCCGAACCCGAACTACAAAGGTTCGCGTCCGCGGTAAAGCCAACCGGAAAATCAATATAGAAAACCCAAGCAAAACAAAAACTACTTACACATAACGGCATACCTAAGATAAATATAAATAGCAACCTAATCTAGTGGAACATAAAGTAGTTGACAACCATAAAAACCAGATGAAGTGGACCGGATGAACGGATGGAAACGGAAGAGCAGCGCAGGAAGAGCATAGAACTCGTCGAGTGCTGGCCGCAGAGTTGTCGGACATTATTGGTAGCAGCTGGAGAGGAAGGGGCGTGGCAGGGACTAAATTCACCATCCACAAGTCACCAGAAGCAAACCAAACTATCCACACGCCATAGACACCACATGAGATCCGGGGAGCGAAACAGAGCGAAGCCATCAATGTTATCTTCCGCAGAAAAGCGAAGGGAAAGGGGGGAAAACCGACAAAGCATAGCATATAGCCTCTTTAAAGTTAAGGAGTATTGTACGGATATAGCTACAATAACTGAACCGCTACAGAAGGAAAGAATTGAATGCTGTATATTTTGTGCCATTACAAATAGTCTTTAATAAACAAAAAAACGAGTACCCGAAGAAGCAATAAATTAACACACAACGACGGCTCCCCGAAAACGGACTTTCGAACTGAACACTCGACCGATACGTAACTTCCACTCCCTTTCTCAAGCATATATAGGATATTCAGGTAGACTTTAGTTCCGAGAGGGCTCTCGAAAGGACCGCAAATAGACTGAGAGAAGTTTCGGAGACGAAGTCAAATAAATCACCTATTTGCACGCTAAAGCAAGAGAATCTCCCGGAATTCTCAATACTATTTTAACCGATTATTTCCAAAGCTGCTACCAAAAAGTATATTCAAAATTTCAAATATCGCCTTGCTTTGGTGTGCTTAATTGAATGCGTTTTAATTATGTTAAATATCTCAACCGAAAGCAGAAGCTAGAACAGAAACAGAAACTCTATCGACCGACTGGACAGCCTGGCCCACTGGACCCCAAGATCCCAAAAATCTGCTGCCAGAATTGGCGCGAGTCTTATATCTAGTTTTGTCCAGCAAAATTTCGTGTAAAGCTCTGTGACACAAGTCTCGAGGAAAGCCACTAAATCTGTTTATTTAAGACCGATGAAATCTACACATAAAATACATCTATGATTTAGAGAGTCAATTATTATTATTTTGTAATTTTAATTAATGAAAATTTGTTAAATTTGATTTTTGATTTGAATTTCCCTATTACGTTTATGTTCTTTCGAAATAGAATTTCCTTATAATTTTCTGTTCCTTAATGCAAAGAAGCTGCAGCTAAATTTCGTTGTTACTCGTAAGCAAAATAAAAAACAGACAATGGAGTACGATGGATGATGAGCAGGAGAAGACGGAGTCAAGCAGCTATACATTTATTGTTAAACAAAATAATTAGCTTAGCGTATAAACTACATATGTATATGTACCATCTAATAATATATAGGCAAGTGAAAAGAAAGAAAAACAAACAAAATGCGAAAATCGAAAAGTATAATAAAAGAGAAACCACATGATTAGTTAAAGTTAAAACTTGTGTTGCCTTTTGTGTTATTTATTTACCGACTTTCCACAGCAACTGGTTATGATTTTCCTGATTTCCGCTTTTGTACAACGAACTTTACAAGCAATGGCAGGACTTCTCACGCCCGCTCGCTCGGACTTCTAGAACCGCATGTCTAAATGTACATAACAATAATTTACACAAATCTGAAACGCGACTACGAGTATATGATATACATATAGCGTGTAAGTAGGTTAGGGCCGGCCAGTCTAGGATTTTGGGTCTGCCAAAAACAAGACATCACTCATACGGCTCCAAAGCAATCGGCCATTTATCATTTCGCAATCCTGAACACTCGACATTAACCGATAAGTATAAATAGCTTTCGACATAAGGTGCGCTAGGAACTCAGCTTGATACTTGATAACTCATATATAGCATTATAGCCGATAACGCAAACAGTACCAAATAAGTTAGTGAACCAAACTGCTCAAGATTCGCATCTAAAGACCGAACGATACTTATTACTATAAGCACCGAATCGTATTGTACCGGAAACCACACGGAAAGCGCTTTGTTGGCTAGTCCCGAAGGAAGCAGGATGAGTGGCTAGATCGCCGGGGCATCCTGATCCTGGAGAATCGAACACTTGCTCCTGTTGTGCAATTCTTTGTTTGTTGCTCTGTTTGTTAAATAAACCACAAAATCGTTGACGACTAAAGAATGTTGAGAGGGTTAGGGAAGATAGGCATAGTTGGGTGGGGGAATGTGCAAGAGGTGGCAGGACAAACGCGGAATATGTTAAACAATATACTATTATTATTATTACTGCATCATGATAATTCGGTCTAATTGGTAAACGACACACTGTAGCTCCAAACCGCGACAACCAAAACCACAGCAACCAGCAACTCGAACAACCAAGCATGCAAATGAGATAAAGACACAAAATAATGGGACGAGGGCGGCGTTTTTACCGACGAGGATAACTCTAATGATAATGATGATGATGGTAATGATAATTATTATTAACAAAAAAACAAACAAAATCCACAAACCAAAAAAATGTATTTATTTATTTTAATTTATATATACACTAGAGAGTTATTACAAATATATTATATACATAATGTATAAGGAGAAAGAACAAAAAAATGACTTTGCTATGGGGGAAAGGATTAATTTGCTGATATATTTTTTATACATTTTCCCAATAATTTTAGACCCCCAATAATCCCCTAAAAACTTTTAAATTTCCAATTTAACCTACATTATTAACGTAAGTAGAATACATTTTCAATGTGTTTTCTATGGCTTTATCTTTCCCTTCGGACAATAAACATAAATTTCACTGGCCAAACAGCTCAACTTGGCCAATGATTTATGGGCTATGAGAACGCATTGGACAGTCGTTTACCACCACAAAATGATGTCCTTTGGCACATGTTACCACAACCGGGGGCCATAAAACAATAAGTTGAGCAAACAGGCGCTGGCCCGGAATTATGCAAACAGCCGGAAACCGAATGTAGGTGAATGTAGTACTACCCATAAAATGTTGTCCATTCCATGGTTCTATCCCCAGACAATTAAGACGTATTTCAGGGGTTGACCAGGGGATCTTAACATCTTCATAACACGCGCGACTGCGACACAAAGTCGAGAAAGGTAGCCGCAGAAAATCGAACATGCCACCAACAGTTTTGGAAAGAGCCAACCTGAAAACCTACCGACCAACAAAAACATCTGAAAACGGACCCAACAAATTACCCTGAAATTTTCACGGATCAAAGAAAGCGGACACTGAGAGAAATTGGTTCTGAAATCAGTGATGTGAGTATACAGAAAAGGTATAAGTATAAAGGTATAAGCCAAACTTCAAGATTTCTTCAATGTAACAAAGTGAAACCAGTTCTTTTGGAATTGCTGGACTTAAAAAACACTTAATATAAAATAGTGTTTTGTATCCAATTAATTCATAAACTATATTTTCCAAACGAGATACCCCACTTAATTGCTTTTAAAATTCTTTGTTTATAACTTTGAAATTGAGAATCATATTAATAAATTATTTTAAAAAATTTATTGTTTCTTCAGTGTATTATTTCCTATAGAGAGAGTTGCTCTTGGCCATCCCTTCGATCGTATCTCATCGATCTGTATCTGCTTGGAGGCCAGAACATAAATCTGCCACAAAATGGGAAGATACAGGGAGACAGGGCAGGGAAACCAAACCCGAAACCCAAAACGACCGCGACAGGTTGCAGCTCAATAAAGATCCAAATAAATATAATATCGCTGGTCTATGAGTCGAACAAAGGGCGAGCTGAAAAGGATGAGTTCATTTAGGGTTCGCGGATAGAATCTACCTGGATTCAACCTGTTCGAGGGCCAAACGAAGGCGGTCTAAATCAAATGGTCAAGGCTTTTGTAAACGGGTGACATTTAAGAATTATGGCATGTAAATGGAAGGCATTCGGGGAACGCCGAAGCGTTGACAGCATCTCTTTCACATCCCCCAACCATATTGCCTTTGGTCGGGGGCTACTGTTAATCAATTTAGAGCCTCTAGGGTCGGAGAGCAGATGGGGTTCAGGATAAGCAAAGGACTGCGCTTCGATGTGCTGATTAATGGGCGATAGTCAAAGGTATTACGGAATATATACCCATAACGTAGTTAAATGTTATAATTATTAAAATACCAATATAGGGAACACAACGGAAAAAATGGATTTACTTCATATTTACTACATATCACAATTTAAGATACTTCTTAACTAATATTATATAAAATTGAAAATAAAAATATTAGAACTACACTTAACAATCAAAGAAAATAAAAAACTGCCTTACAATCTTGCCAATAAATTTAATAAAACAGTGCATATATATATCCCGAGTGATGACAAGTAATAGTGATTAGATATTTTTGTATAATGTCTTTTATATATTTTGATAATATTTAATCCCAATGTAATTAACGTTTATTCAATATTAGCTTTTTATCGTTGTTTGCTCTCAAAGATTATACCTATTAAGCTGTTATTAATTTGCAGAACAGGAAATGAATTCTAGCTGGTAGTTTTGATATTGTAGTCTTTCCTTGAACGCTCTACTTGCGGCACCCCACGGGGCGTATGCGTGTTTAAGCTCCCAGCTGCTGTCGGACTTTTGGCTGCCTTTTGATAAATGCACCGCTATTAAAGTACCGCCTTTGTAATGCGGAAACATCAAAGTGCACTCACACACACACACACACGACTGGAAGGCAAACATTTGCATTCACACACACACCAAAGCACACTGCACACACACACTCTCACACACTGACTGAAAGCCATAAAAATCACTTTGTAGGAATGGAGGCGGCGCATCAGCGCAAACTATGCAACAACAACGGCGGGAAAAAGTGCAATGCAATCAATTCGAAGAGGAGAAAGGGGAGTTGAGCACCCGTTGGGCGGGGGGCGTGGCAGGGGGGAAAACTCACACTCCCAAAAATTATTACAAGTTGGCTATTAAAATTGGGATACCATTTGATTTGTGATTTTGGAAACAAAAATATTTAAGTAATACTTAATATACACAATATCCTAAATTTTATGTTTTTAGATGTTTTAATTAAAGTATCATCTATCAAATTATTTTTAATACAATTTATGAATTGCTTTAGAATATCTTAATTTATTTAAGACTTCAGAACGTTGTATTTAATGTAATGTAAAATGAAATTGATATAGAACTCTTATACATGAGTTTATTTTTTGATAATTTTTTAAAGATTAAAGAAATATTAGATAACAAAAATATTTTATTTTGATAGTACACTATGATTTTGCAAGTGCATTGACAGGAGAACGAGAGCCAGCAGACGGCAGCTTTTAATCCTGCAAAAAAGGCATTGCGAGGCAGCATAAAATGATGTTAATCCTTAAATAACGTGAGCAAAGCAAAAAGCGCAGAAAGAGTGGTAAAAAAAGGGGGCCAGAAAAAGGAGGTGGAGGCGACTGGATGATGGCGACAGCCAAATGCCAATTGAATGCCAAGCGGCTTTAAAAGACAGCCCACGACCAAAGAGACAGTGAATGAAAAATGGCACAAAGTAATGGTTAAAGTGCTCGGAAAGTCAAAGGAAATCGCTGGGGAAAGAGGTAAGCTAAGCACAAAGCCTAAACTCGGGCTTAAATCAAAGGATAAAGTGCACAATGGTAACTAGGAAAATCCTGTCGTATCATAACTTGAGCAGTAATTTAACAACCAGTCATTAATTCGTCAAAAATATTGTATACATCATATTACAATACTTACAATATCTTTACATCTAGTTTTAATCCTATTAAATTTTCCCAAATTTAAATGCCTTTTTTTCTTTGGGCATGTCTATCATGTCAATCATGTTTGGCATGCCATCACAAACAGGCAAATGGGATAAAAAAGATTTAACCGAAAAGAGAGCAGCGTCAACATGAACTGGCACTCACTTCCCCTCCAACAAGCGGTTTGACCCCAAAAAAGTCAAGTGCGGCGGAGTTCGAGTTCCGTTTTCCTCTGCTTTTTCCTTCAGTTTGATCCACTCAGGCAGCAGCATTGAAAGCAAGAGCAATGACAGAAGGGAAATCATTGACAGTAGCAACATAAGTGGAATCTTCAATAGAAATTGCAGCAACAGTAAAATTTTCAGCAAAAGTAACTAAAGCGCCAAAAATATCAGCAACACCGTAGACAATTAGTATAAAAAGCAGTAGAATTAAGCTGACAAATGTTAGAAATCACCAGTAACAACAGCAATATCTGTAGATAAAACTACACAAGTAGTGACAACTGCAACACCAGCCAAAAAAACGGCAGCAACTTGGGAAAAAGTCACAGCAACAACAGCAACATCACTTTTAAGAGCAAGAGCAGCAACACCAGCCCCCAAACAGCAGCAACACGAGAAAAGACACAGCAATATCAGTAGGAAAAGCCAGAGCAGTGGTGACAACAGCAACACCGGCCCCAAAAACAGCGATTCCACTCCGATTCCCAC